CCCTCACGTCCGAGTGATGGCCCGGACTGCCCCTTTACAGGGCCTTAATCATTTTTTGTTGTGGGGAAGCAGGGTCACCTCTGCTCCTCTACGCCCTCCCAGTGTTATTGGAGAGGCGGGATTGATGCATAGACCCCCGTCCATGCATCAACCGCCCCGTCCAGACCGAGAGTGGGGCCGACGGAACTCCGTCTGAAACACCCCGACCCCCGGTCTAGACCCTCCCTGTGTCCCCTCCCCGGCTGTTATGGTAGGAGTGGACATATTCTAGCCACTCCCACCACCGAGGGGGGGGGCTTCTTAGCCTCCCCTTTTGGGGGGCTTGGAGGGCGTGGAGAGAGGAAGAAACTCCTCCTTTATTTTCCCCGCCCCCCTTCTCTTTTTTTCCCCCTGTTTGGTCTTTGATGAGGGAGGGCAGGACGAGTGTATCTCGTCCATATCCTCCCCTAGGCTATCCAAGAGGAACCTGCTAGCCTCCCCCAATGGTGGGGGAGGTTTTGCCGGTTTTGGAGGCGGCCTCAGGGTCGGAGGCCTTTTGGCCAACCTGACCTCTGATGTCAGCTCCCAGTGTGGGAACCCACGAGCCACCTCCTCGGCAATCCTCTTTAAAATTCTGGTCCCCAACGGATGTTCGGGGCCATAATACTCCACTGCCAGATCCTGGTATCTTTCCTTGAAGCGTATGAGTTGGGTATCCGCTCCCCCCCGCCTCACACACCCAGCCCATATCTGGCCAGCAACCTCCCTCCCATCTGGTGGGTGCCAGATCTCCTCCTGTGGCTTCGTCCAGAATTCTCTGGGATATTCCTGCCGCCACCGAAGGAGAACCACCGAAGGGGGACCCTCCTGTTCTCCCCCCAGGATGGGGAATTCCTCCACTGCCGGAGAGGAGACGCCATTTTTAGGTAGTGCCCTCTCTCCCTCCCATGGTAACGGCACGCCAAACAATGCTTAGAAGCAGCAACCAAAGCGGTACTCAAAGAGATACTCAAAGAACGATACGCAAAACAGTAGCCGAAAACGTTACTTACATTCGATATTCAAACACGATAATCAAACGCAAAACGACACTTAAAAACGGCAATCAAAATGATATGTCAAACGATACTTAGAAGAACGTTACGGTAAACGATACGGTAATAGATTTGCCAGATACGCTCCAGTCTCTTCCCAAAACTGCAACCTCCGAAATTCCGCCAAGAAACGACGCTCCAATGCAGGCCCACAACGGTAACACCGAAAAGCACGGAGACAAAGGGGGTCCTGCCAGAGACGTCCCAATTTCCTTAAAGGCGTGAATCCGGAATCTCGCCCAGAAACGACGTTCCAAGGCCAATCCGTATTAACGGTAGCACATGAATTTCGGTAGCCGACAAAACGTAATACCAACGGTAATTTCGATAGAGGCACTTAAGTTTCCGCAACGAGTTGATTGTTACGCCACAAGGCGTAAATTTGGTAGAACCCAAATGTTAATTTAACAAACACTTTACTATGAGTATTAAGATATAAACACTTTCACAAAATTATACGTTACAAACACTTGTACTAGATTCCGCTTAACACAAGATAATTCGAAGTTAAAAGTTACAATATTTCCATGTTTGATACAGAGTTTAAATTCGATGGAATAGGATTCAGGGATGTTGCGCGTGTCAAAGTCGGAGTGGAACTATTCGGAAAATACTAAGACTCTCTCGGATTTTTTGGTTTTGGTAGGGAGGTATTCCTTCTGATGGAGATAAAACAGATTGTCGGGAGATTAGTGGATCGATTGCTCGAATGGCATGTTTATCGTTCCGTCGGTTTTTCTGGCAGCGAAAATTCAAAGTCAGTAGTTATACTATGGGAGATCTGACCCAGGGCATCTGAGGGGGTGCGCGGGTGAAGGGGGGAAGAGATTGAAGGGGAGGGATTAATTCTGGAGGAGAGGGAGTAATGACGTCATCGTTTTGGAGGAGAGGGGATAAATTTGGAGTGGAGGGGGTAACGAGGGAGATGCGGAAGAGAGGGGAAGGTATCAGATTACATCAATTTCCGGAAGAGATAAGATAAGGATTGTTTATATAAGTTAAGGATTGTTTATACAAACATGAGTCATTGAGAGATAAGGATTGTATATATAAGATAAGGACTGTTTATATAATAATGTTTATGTTAAAATGTTTATATAAAAATGATTTATAGTTCTAAGAACTATTTACAAAGGCGTCATTGTTCAAATTTCTTAGAATTTTCATGCAGGTTTACCTAAGAGACGCTATTTTGCATCAAATAATGATGTCATCGCTATTTTTAGGCTGCTCTTTAGAGCGCCAGATTTAAGATAAGGATTGTTTATATAAAAATGATTTATAGTTCTAAGAATTATTATAATGGCGTTATAGCTATTTTTAGGCCGCTCTAAGAGCGCCAGATTTAAGATAAGGACTGTTTATATAATAATGTTTATGTTAAAATGTTTATATAAAAGTGATTTATAGTTTTAAGAACTATTATAATGACATCATTGCTATTTTTAGAACCTTTGCAGGCATTTGCAGGTTCGTGCAGGTTTATAGATTACGTCATCGCAATGTTTATACAATAAGGGTATATAAGGCCCGCGGAAAAATTACGAATTTTTAAAGTCATTCGCAATGGAGAAGGAGCGCGATCTTACAGTACGAGCAGTGAATAATCAAAACGTTGGGTAGACTTTCTCCCGTATTACAGCGAGTGCAACAAGTACCTCGATTCTCTGAGGGAAAAATGTCGCAAGAAGCAACGAACCGGAGTAGTCAACTCTCTGGTGGCGCAAATTGTGCGTCTGGAGGGTGTGAGGAACACCCTGCATGAGCGTTTTGTGCCCATCGGTGCTGGATACGGCGGATACGAGAAGAAGGGCTACACGTGGAAGGAGATCGAGACGGCGTTTAGGAACCGTGTGCTGACGGGTGCGGTTGTCAATTCCGACTTCATCGATCCTCGTGAATTTGTGGAAAATATAAGAAATACGGTTATTGAGCGGATTCAGAGCGTCATGGCGGAGCATGGGAACGTAAAATCAACACCGCGTTCAACGGGGAATTTATCGCGGGTAACAAGACAGCCGTGAAGACCATCGCCACGAAGAATCAAGAGATATAACATCTGATTTACAAGAGTGGTACACGAAGCATGTGGTTGACGTCATACAGGCATCTCTGGAGGAATTTCAGGAACGCGACAGCGGATGGGCGTTGTCACGTATCCTGAACCTAACAATCAACGTCAACAAGTTGAATCCTCTACACGCGGGATGCCACACCGAGTTACCGCGGAAAATTATGTTAAACAAGGCGGTGGTCAACGTGAAATCAAACGATAATGCGTGCTTTGCGTGGGCGGTGGTAGCAGCTTTGATCCTGTGGAAAAGTACTCGGAAAGAGTATCGCAGTACCCGCACTATTCAACGGTGCTGAATCTGTGTGGTATTAAGTTCCCCGTGAAGCTACCACAAATATCAAAGTTTGAGAAACTAAACGCCATCTCCGTTAACGTCTTTACCACCCAAGACTCCAAAATCGTCCTTCTGCGGCTCACCGACAACAAGAAAGAGAAGCATGTCAATTTGTTGTACGTGCACGGAAACAACAATGCACATTTTGCATGCATAAAAAATATGTCGCGGTTGGTGAGCTCGCAATTGAGCAAGCGAAATGACAAAAAGTACATTTGCGATCGGTAAGTAAAAATATACGTATAAAATAATTCGAAACTTTATTCGCAGTTTTAATCATACAAATTATTACAGGTGTCTACATTACTTTTATACACAGGAGAAATTATCGGCGCACAGCGTCGATTGCGGCAAGATGAACGATTGTGCCGTCGTTCTCCCCAGCGAGGACAAAAAGTGGCTGACGTTCAGCAACTACAACCGGAAGGAGTGGCTCCCGTTTGTAGTGTACGCCGATCTCGAATGTTCGCTCGAGAAAAAGGATGGACAAGACGGCACCACATACGCCTATCAGCATCACAAGGCGTTTAGCGTAGGATATTATGTAAGTTGTACGTACGACAATTCTTTATCTAGTTTTAAATCTTATCGCGGTGAGGATTGCACAGCGTGGTTCGTTAACGAACTGCACAATTTGGCGCACCGCGTGAAAGCAATCCTCACCACCGTCGTCCCCATGGCGGATCTTACGCGGGAGGAATCGGAGGAATTCCGTAGCGCCGTAACGTGTCACGTGTGCGAGAAACCCTTAACAGCAGAAGATACTCGGGTGCGCGATCATTGCCATCTTACCGGGCGTTACCGCGGTGCCGCGCACTCGTCGTGCAATTTAAATTACAAAGACTCCCACGTTATCCCGGTGATATTTCACAATTTATCCGGTTACGACGCGCATTTCATTATTAAAGACGTTGCCAATGCTTTCGAAGGCAGCGTCGAATTGTTACCGCTGACGAAAGAACGTTACATTTCATTCACTAAAAATGTTAAAGAAACCGAGGATAAAAAATCAAAATTGTGTATAAAATTACGATTCATCGATTCATTCAGATTTCTTAGTACAAGTCTTAAAAAATTGGCATCTTATCTGACAACGGACGAATTAAAAATTACACGTTCCGAATTTAGTCATTTATCCGCGGAAAATTTCAATCTGCTTACTCGAAAAAGCGTGTTTCCCTACGAGTACGTCGACAGCGTCGACAAGCTCCGGGACACAAGCCTACCATCGCGCGAATCGTTTTACAGCTCGCTCACCGGAGAAACGGTATCCGAGAGCGATTACGCGCACGCGACAAACGTCTGGCAAACTTTTTCGATCGAAGATCTAGGTCAATACAGCGATTTGTATTTGAAAACAGACGTTTTTTTGTTGGCGAATATTTTCGAAAATTTCCGAAACATGTGTATAAAGAGTTACGGTTTAGATCCCGCTCAGTATTACACATTACCGGGGTACACGTGGGACGCTATGATGAAGTACATGCGCGTAAAATTCGAGTTGCTCACGGACATCGATATGGTGCTGTTTGTCGAGCGTGGTATACGCGGCGGTCTCAGCCAATGCTCCAACCGATACGCCGCCGCCAACAACAAATACATGTCATCGTACGATCCATCGGAACCATCATCGTACCTAATGTACTTTGATGTAAACAACTTGTACGGCTGGGCAATGTGTCAACCGTTGCCCTACGCCAAATTTCGATGGGTCGAAAATGTCGAAAAATTTGACGTAATGCCTGTTGCATCTGATTCGGCTACCGGTTATATGCTGGAAGTCGATCTCGAATATCCGGTGAATCTTCACGACGCGCACGCCGACCTGCCGTTCTGCCCGACGCGCGATAAGCCGCCCGGCAAGCGGGAACTCAAGTTACTCGCAACGCTGTACGATAAGCAGCGTTATGTCATTCACTACCGTAATCTGCAGCAATGCGTGCTACATGGTCTGCGAATTGCAAAGATTCACCGCATACTGCAATTCGTGCAATCTCCATGGCTCAGCAGATACATAGAATTAAATACGCAGTTTCGGACACGGGCGACAAACGATTTCGAGAAAAATTTATACAAATTGATGAACAACGCGGTTTTTGGCAAAACCATGGAGAATGTGCGAAATCACACGGATGTACGGCTCCTTACACAGTGGGAGGGTCGGTACGGTGCGGAGACTATGATCGCCAGACCAAATTTCTACAGTCGAAGCGTGTTCTCGGAGAATCTAGTCGCCGTAGAGTTGCGAAAACTCGAAGTGAAATTCGACAAGCCGATCTACCTGGGTATGTGTATCCTCGACATATCCAAGACCTGCTTGTACGAGTTTCACTACGAGTACATGGCGCCTCTCTATGGCAACAATTGTAAAATTTTGTATACCGATACCGACAGTCTGAAATACTTTCTACATTGCGAGGACGTATATCACAATATGAAACGCGATATATCCAAATTTGACACGAGCGACTACTCCGAGGACAACGTTTACGGTATACCGCGCGCCAACAAGAAAATACCCGGTCTGATGAAAGATGAGAATAACGGCGCGATCATGACGGAATTTGTCGGACTGAGAGCGAAGATGTACGCGTTGAGAGTCACCGGACAAAAAGATACAAAAAAGGTGAAAGGCGTAAAGAAAAATATAGTCGCTAGAACGATAACGTTCGACGATTACACTCGGTGTCTCAACGACGAAATCGAGTTGACGCGGCGTCAATCGTGCATCCGCTCAAAGATGCACGAAGTGTACACCGTGTCGGAGTCGAAGCTCGCGCTCAGTCCGTACGACGATAAGCGGCACGTCGTATCCGGTTCCACCGATACTCTACCGCGGGGACATTATAAAAGACAATTGTAAATAATGCTTAGTAATTTATATAGTTTAATATTTTATGTATTATTGTCGTTATTAGTTTTAAATGTATATATTGTAACATGTTGTAGTAATAAAGAACATCATTGTATATAAATGTATAATAGTTTATTATAATGCAATGTAAAATATACATAGTTCATTACAATACATCGTCTTTATTTATCCATAAATTATGCGAATTGTCGAATCCCAACCACTTTACAAACACCTTATCGTCCTTTCGGCGCAACACCTTTTCCACGAGATAAACGTCGGGTTGAGCGGTCTTGAGCAATTCGTACTCGTAGAAGCCTCCCGTGACCGGATCTTCGCAATAATCTTTAATCAGATACGTCACAGGATTGGTACGTTGCACCGTGGCGATCTTAAACACCTCCGTCGACCAATTCGGCGTATATCCTTTCTCGAATACAGTTTTGAATTTTCTCACGCGCACCGGATCACCCATCCTGAATTTCGCCGGCGCCGCAATTTTTACATTACTGTACACGGTGCTCAAGAGTCCCTTTGCGATCTCGGGAGTGACATCGATCGGGCGCATACCGATCGTATGATGTTTACGACCGTTGTATTCCAAGACCAATCGCGGTAAATCGTCGATCCACCTGTACGATCCCGTGAGCGTAAAAAACTTCCACATTTCGTTCTTTAACGTGCGATTGAATCGTTCCACCACCGAAGCCTTTCATGACCGAGTATGTCGAATAATGATTGATGCCGTGTTTCTTGACAAGATTTTGGAAATCTCTGTTGTAAAATTCTTTTCCATGGTCGGTCTGCAAGTTTTTCGGAATTCTCTCCCTAAATATCGCGGAAAA